ATAATAACCGTAGTAACAGCAGCCAGTTTGCAGTTTCGGGTGAAATCGAGCCTTTCCTGCATGCTTCGTGCAGTCTGGTTCCGGCAACCAGTTGCTTACCGATGGCATTGCTGGCTCACGATGAACGGTGTCTTTCATGCGCCGTTGCTCTTTTACACTTGCAGCAGGCCAACATGTAAAAATTTCTTCAATTATTATTTTGTGAAGATTTATGAATGCCACAATCGTCGAGAACACGAAAATAAAAAAGTATAACTAGCACTTTACGGAAGAGAGTTTGTGCGCCATTTGCTTTTCTTTCTGAACGAAAATTTTAATGATTTTTCTTTTGCTGGCAGCATGATGCAGTGATAAGTAGCGCTAAACCCATTAGCAGGACAGCCAGTCTTTCAGCAACTTTTCCATCCGTTTCTATGGTAAACGGTATTGAGGGTACCAAAAACGGCTATCAGTGTTGCTTCTAAGCAAAATTGAAGGGAGATACAGTAGACAGCCTGATTGCTATTAACATGTGCTAACTGCTCGAGCTGCTTCCGATTGCTTCACCTCCCGTAGAAAATGAATTAAAGAGGCGCCCTGTTTTTATTCCATTTCTACTTTTTCGCTGCGAAGCTGTTTTTATGACTGTCGAAATTCTTTAAATAATGTGGGCAAGTTCTAGTGAATAAGGTGTTTTTTGATTTGAGGATTTTGTCAATTTCTTAAAAATTTTTTGCTTAATTAACAATTCTGGTAGATTGCAGTACTTGAGAATTTCATCAGAAAATCTCAGTTTTTTAAATTTAATTTTATTTCAGCGATTCAGTTAACAAATTTCCGCAGTAAAACCTACTCTCAAAGAACTGTTGTATTTAAAAACGAAAAATTGAACGAAACCAAGCATACACTGAAAAAAAAACCGACAGTTATGGATATGCAAGTAAACAGATGATCACAAAACATACAGTGCCGCAGAAGCGGCTAAAAAAACGAAATTCGACTTCGTATTTCTGAATTCAGAATTTTGCGACACCGTTTTTCTTTTTGCAATTTTTTACTGTTGACACCAAGTACAGCAATTAATTGAGTATAACTGCACCTAATTTTACAAGAATGTAGAGACCATGGCAGAGAAGTGTATGTATCTCATGTTACTGATATTACTCAGCCTGAAAATTAACCCATCGAATAAGAAGCTGATGCAAAGTGCGGTGATGGCTTGAAAGAAGTTGACAGTAATAATTAAATATAAATATTAATTAAAAGTTACGACCACTTTTATATTTCAGCAATCTTCCGTCTCAGCTGAATCCGTTACTAATTTTTCGGCATATTCTTTATTCCATTGGTTATGATCATAAGGTTTATTTGTTTATTCTTTTCTTGTATCAATAGTGAACCGAAATGATTTAATGAATGAATAAGCAATGATTACATCCTAACTCAGCTTCTTATGTGAGCTTTGACGGACGCTAAAGCTTGTTTGACCCGCACAGGGCTTTGATTTTCTGCCGCATTTTTGCCGTAGTGGTACAGCGTTGATAGCAAAAATTCCCTGAAAGATATAAAACAGTGCACAGTTATACGTTGATGTGCAAAATTAGTCAGCCACAGTTATTGGCTGTAACAACAGCACTACCAATACGAGGAATACCCGGACGACCTGAATAGTTGATGTGAAGATTGCATGTTAGTGATCTCACTGAGATGCTCCCAAGCGCCAGATGGAGTTACGTCATGCTCTTTGAGCCTGAATTGCATGCTTTATTTTAGTACCCATCGTCTTTTCAGTGTAAAAAATTTATTACCGTGTTCTCTTCTCAAATAGCATTTTTTTGATAGGTACCGAGGTCATTTTTAAGATTTAGTATAATTGTGCTTAATTAACATATGGTTTCGTTGTTTGTTAAAAATTTCTCTGCAGGTAATTTTGGATTGGCTGTATTCGGAAGTTACTGCAATACCATTTGTGTTACGTTTTTCAAAAGCGTTAATAGTTGAAGAGCAGGGCGAAAATACCTTTTTGAGTTGTCAGTACGTTTTTACTTCGTTGTAGATTTCGTGAGGATTTTTTAAAGATTTAAAAAGAAAAAAAAAAACAAGATTACGTCCTCTAGAAAACACTGTGTTTCTTTTTGCAGTGCAAACGCAATCTATTTTATTAATTTTCAACCGAAAATTATGCTATTCTAGATGATATACTGAGCGAGGTAAAGAAATTTCTTGTATTTTTGTTTGTCAAAGATTGTACCTAGAAGTAATGTTGCCACTCGGGCATACTTTCTAAAAACTGTCTTCTCTTTGTATAATTTAGAGAGATGCTGCTGCTGAGCCTAGCATAAAATTTTGTCATATATATGCATTTTAACAACATCATGGCTGTCCACTGGCTTTGCTGTTGAGATTGTTCGCGATGGTAATCGCAAGGAAATAAGAAAGGAAAAAGATTTTGATTTCTTTAAATCACTGGAACGTGATGTTCGCTTTAAAAATTACGAAACTAATGCATGGTATCGGTATTCCATCTGTCACAAAACACTTATGCTGTGTTTTTAGGTGCTGTGAAATGGACCAAAAACAGCTGTTTGAAAGGAGGAAAGCAGATAAATCAGATGATAGTATAACTCTCCATATCAAACAGCTACATGGAGATTTACCTGTCGCTATTTCATACACATTTC